GAAAGAGGGCAGATTTAGATTAGATATAAGACAGAAATTCTTTACATTGAGGGTGGTGAGGTACTGGAACAGGTTGCCCAGAGAAGTTGTGGATGCCCCATCCCTGGCAGTGTTCAAGGCCAGGTTAGATGAGGCTTTGGGCAACCTGGTGTAGTGGAGGATTTCCCTGCCCATGGCAGGGGGGTTGGAACTAGATGATCTTTGAGGTCCCTTCCAACCCTAACCATTCTATGATTCTATGGTTCAGATTCTTACATTCCAAACTGGAGAAAGAAACCAATTTTAGTCCAGAAGTTGTTCACTAGTTTGAAGGTAATAAGTCCTGCTCCTACGCAGCCACTCTCCACCTGTAAGCTCTACAGGTAATACCACTTCCTTTCTAGGTAACAAAGTTGAGAACATAAATACGCTAGAGACCACAAAGTACCCTAGAAGAAGAGACCAGAGAAATACTTATATCAAAAAAAAACCACTTACCTTACACTTACTGAACTTCTTGTAATACTACCAAAATCTCACTTTCAGTTGACATTTAAAATAGCAGTTGAAAATCACTTCTACTCAGCTGCAAAAATTTACAGATGTAGTTATACAGTTACCTGCAGAGCTTGAATTTTACGAGCCTCTTCTTGCTGAATAGTGTTGGCCATACTCCCCTTCATCTCATCCAAAATAGAATACAGACCTTCAAACTCTTCATCCAACTCGCTGATGGCATTTGAAGAGTTTACCTGAGAAGAGAATTGAAACTGCTGCAATTTGAACCAGAAACAATGCAGACGAGTCTTTTAGACTGAAAGTCACACTATTTGCCCAAACATGCTTTGCCATAACTACTAGATACCCTGTCACTGTTCCTCACCCTATCAAAATGGAAAAAACATGAGGAATGATGGACATCTCCTAAGCAGACTTTACATCGAGGGACATATGAAAATTCCGTGATACTCAACTTTGCAGAGAACCAACATACTTGGCAACTTTGTTCCACACCAAAAGGCTTGATTTCCCTCTCACAACTATATATGGATTGCTAGATATTTGTAAGGAGGTAGTTACCCAGTTCCATATAAAATGGTTATATTAAACTGTACTCGAGAAGCCAGCTTAAAGATCTGCTGAATGATTTCCATTTCTGTAGTTAACCTGGCTCAGCTTTAACATGAAACAAACAACTTATGGCTTATTGATAGGCTAAAGTAACCTAAATCTCATCCTAGTGTAGACGCTCTAAAAATTAGGTCTAACTTTTAACTTAAGCCTAACAATTTGCCACTACTGAAATGAGAAAGAGCAAAGGAATTTCTCTCAAGTGTCAGAATGGTCTTATTTTTCAGTCTGCCAAGTGGACCAGAAGTCTAAAAATGATAGACTATTTCCAGTTTGAGATCTTGCATCAAAATCCAGAGTCTCTCTTCCACACAGATCAAATCCTACAATAGCTTTTCACATGAAAACCAAAATCACCATACCTTTCAATTATAGACCAACTTTAAAAATAAAATGTTTTTCTATCTGGTTCATAGAATCATAGCATGGTTCGGGTTGGAAGGGACCTTAGAGATCCTCTAGTTCTAACCCCCCTGCCATGGCCAGGGACACCTTCCCCGAGATAAGGTTGCTCAAAGCCTCATCCAACTTGGCCTTGAGCACTTCCAGGGATGGAGCATCCACAGCTTCCCTGGGCAACTTGTTCCAGTGTTTCACCACCCTCACAGTAAAGAATTTCTTCCTTACATCTAATCGAAATCTCTCCTTTCAGTTTAAAGCCATTTACCCTTGTCCTGTCACTACACGCCCTTGTAAAAAGTCCCTCTCCAGCTTTCTTGTAGGCCCGCTTTAAGTACTGGAAGGCTGCTATAAGATCACCCTGGAGCCTTCTCTTCTCCAGAATGAACAACCTCAACTCTCTCAGTCTGTCTTCACAGGAGAGGTGCTCCAGCCCTCTGATCATCTTCATGGCTCTCCTCTTCATGTTACAACACGAAGGTGTATTTTAAACTTGATTCTTATAGCCCAACCCTTACACACTACCCAAACACTTTGAGACTGACAAAACTGGAAAGCTGTTCCCTCTCTCAGCTACAACCTATGAGCCTTAATATATATACCTGAACATTTTTTATTGTATGTTTCAGCATGTCAATGAAGTTGTGAATTTCATCGTTTTTGTTCGCTAGAGTAGAGACAATCCTTTGCAGAGTCTCCTAGAATTACAAAAAGAAGTGAGAGAAGTTGCAAAAAACCTTGTAACTTTTTCATACATCACCATTTCAACACATGTAGAAATTCATCATACATGGAAATTCATCATACACGTTCCAGTTGTGGTGAATTCAACACTTATTCAGATGACATCGGGAAACACATTTCGTTAGAAAAAAGAAAGAGTATCAAAGGTCTAAGAAGCATTTCACCAAACTAAACATCTCCAGTTGTTAGTTTAAAAGAAATCAAGAATCTGCTTTACGATACACTATTAATTCACATGTTTTGCTACCCATGTTACTGCAACTCCCTAGTCACCTAAACCAGACTACCTGCTGGCACCACACTGCCATACATACCTTCTCCAGAGGAGAAAGTTAGTGCTTGCACAACTGAACAAAGAATCAATAATGAAAAAAAAGCTGGTAAGTTAACCCAGAAGAAAAATTAGCATTTTCTATTGTCCAAAGAAGCTAGTGTTAAATAACTAAGCTGACAGTTTATTCTATACCCAGAACAAATCTGTAACAGTGATTTGTAAACTTATTCTACAAACGGTAAAGCATTTTGGAGAATAATTTCTATATTCCAATTAAAAGTGACTTCAAAGACAAAAGCTTACTGATAGCTGAGAAAGAGAATCAAGATTATTTCCATGGTATACTATGAGAGCTATTAATTAAAAAGCAGTAGATTCAGCTTACAAAACACATACTAGAAACAAATCTGACACCAAAATGCTACACTTTGGTCTTTAAAAAAAAAAAGTAAAGTCTGTCTTAATTATAATTAAGACCTAGTTAATCAGTTGGACTCAGAGTCTAAAGTTTCTCAGCTTAACATCGTTACTTGACAACATCTAGGAAATCGAGGCATGAGGAGCTAATAAGCGCACCTCAAAAAACAGCCAGACCACCAAAAAGACATTGCAGAGGTCCCTCCCATAAGCAATTTCTTAATGACCATTTACTACTTAGATCTCATTTGTTTGCTAATGAGCAAGAAAAATATTTTTTATCCTTTCACAACATCCACAGCAGACCTCGACACTGTGTCCCCTATCAGGGATCTCTTCACTAGTCCTAAGCCGCGATCATACCTGTTTCTTCTGACCCCTTCCTCAGCAGTTTTCGACAAACCTGCAACGAGGTATTTACTGGTGCTCTGGCCCATTGCCTGTTTGCACAGCACCATGCTCACAGAGCTAAACCACTAGTAGAGAAAAGTGAAATTTTACTGCTTTTACCACAGGCGTTGCAACGATGTTACGTAAAGATATAATGGACCAGCTAGCAGTGACTGAAATTAGGACTTCAAGGAAGAGAAACCAAGACCAGATCAGCTTCTTTCAGAAACGACAAGTATAGCAAGCCTTGATCACTCCATGACAGAATCTTTTCATTGTCTGGTAAAAACTGAACATGTTTAAAGACCATTTTGTACACATTAGAACGGCAGATGAAATGCCATTGTCCAACCAGCTGCTTCTGCCTTCACTGCTGACCAGAGGCAATTGTTTTCGCACGTCAGACAGCCCGCAGTTAAGCCTTAGATCCTATAAACGTAACTGTCAATTCAGACGAACAAGAAAACTCCCAATCCTCTTTCAGTCAGGATTTTAGGGCTTATCCAGTCGCACCACATGGAGGAAAAAAATATTAGTCTTCTTGTACACAGTACTGAACGATGTTTTTGGTTTTTACAGCTATATACAGCTAAAGGAAAATATCTACACATGAGGAATGCTTAGAAAGCCTTTACATAGCCAAATACATGACAGCAACTGGAAGACAGCTGTCAAACACAGTTTTCCACTACATCTGAAGTTAACATCAACTGGCCAAGCAAGGATCAGTATGGCTTTTTTTAAGTAAGCTACCGGTTTCTCCAAACAGAAATTCCACCAGGTTTGGTCAAACTCAAACAGTTTAGACACCGCCTACAAACGCAGATGCAAGAGGCCCAAAAACATCCACCAACAGCAGACAGAACTTTTCTTAAACACCAATGTGCAGGCCACCAGAACAGAAAGTCAGCTCTCAGGAACCACTAATGTATAATATTTCCTAATGTAATTTTCTAATCATTAATATGCAATACATAGATTTTCTTCCAAATATAAAGAAACACATGGCAAATTCAAAACACTGCACTGTTGCCACTTTTTCCTTTAAAGTGAATTTATGAAAAGCCACTACAATTACGTGAAATAAAAAGGGTGCTAGAAAAATTACCAACGTAAGCAGCAGTTGAAGCGTACATCCTAAGGTACTTCATAAAAGAACTATAACAGCATCAAGCTGAGTAAAGCTTCCTGGTATTTTTACGCTGAAGGAAACTTAAATCTATCGCCCATTCATGGATGTAGTATTTCACAGAATCCTACTACAAATAATTTTCTTTTAGTTTTCTCTCTGGTTAGCCTATGTTAAATGAGGTCAGTTTCAAATTAATTTTCAAAACATTATAGCATGTTTATCACCTAAGTCATTTTTGCTGCTATCAGTAAGCTTCATACTGCTCTTCATTTTCATGTCCTATTCTTATTCTCTGAATCCAACACAGCTTTTGAAAAAAAAAAAAAAAACGCATGGCATTTGTAAAGCAACAGTGTGGATGTGCAAGGGATGAAGAACATAAAAGGATATGAAAAAGGATAGGAAGCCCTGCAGCCATGTGGTGGCTTGTAGTCTTGCCAGGAGCACAGAAGTAGACTATACACCCTTCTCTGAATAGCTCACTAACATCACATAGCACCTGTTGAAGCAGATGGGGACCTTGTAAAAGTTAAACAGTAGACTTTAATAAATTAAACAATTACAGCAGTTCTGTTTAAGAAGCAAGTAATCGACTTGCTCAAGATCATACAAAGTCTTATGACTGAATGCAGAAGCGTTTCTAAAGCAGCCTCGGGCCTAGGACAAAATCCTGTGTCATAATAACCTTCATGTGCCGATCAAATTTCAAACAAGAGGACATACTTACTCAGCCTCCATTAACTTAATCTTCTGCACTTGTCCCACACACTGAAGTTGCCAGAGTTTGAAGGTGTACTTAAGACAACAGCCGTGTACAGGTGACAACAGCAAACTAACAAAGTACTGTAAAATACACAATCGCCTGCGATTTTACTACTGTATTCAGAACCTCTGAGCAGCACTGAAACTCAAATATGATCAGTAATACCACTCAGGAACATCCACGTAGAGCACCCACAACAGCTGCAGCCCTCATTTACTTCTTCTCTGAGAGACTAATCTCGCACAGAGCAGGCAAAGGCAGACAGGCTCAAATTCACATCGTATCTGCCAGAAGCACTCTTTTTTTGGCGTTTCACATCTCACCTTCCAAAGCATAGACAAGTAACAAGTGGCAGTGAATGAACACTTAACTAAAACGGCAAGCACCTGCGATTTCTAAATTTCAAGCCATTAGCAGTGCTGGTTACCCAGACCCTACTCATAAACCAGCCTCCAAGCTAAGGAAAGCAGAGTCTATGTTCACAGAAGCAGTAACAGAAGCCCCTTTTGGACTGCTAGACTGAAGGCCAAAAGACTGAGTCAGAACTTTTTGCAGGGAGTATCGTTTTCAGAAAGCCCAGACCCTGGCCAGGCACATCTCTGCTCCTGACCGATTTCCCTGAGGGCGGAGATGGCAAGTAAGGGAAGGAAGGAAAGAACTACAGGGCCGCAGCCACAGGAAAAAGAAAATTACAAAACGCTTTCATTAATTAGTTCCCTTCAACACAAGACTACATCAATGGGAAACAGAAGGGCCTATGTACGCCCCATAACTACTCAGGACAGGAAGGCACAACGTGAAAGAGCTCTACACCGGAGCCGTACTACATTAAGACGCAGCAACCGCAGGGCAACACCAGCGCCCGAGGCAAGCAGGCACGGAGAAGACCCTCTCGCTG